ACAACCGTATATTGTCTACTGTAACAACTGTATAGTATCTACTGTAACAACTGTATAGTATCTACTGTAACAACTTTACAGTATCTACAGTAACAACTGTATTGTATCTACTGTAACAATTGTATAGTATCTACTGTAACAACAGCTTAATATCTACTGTAACAACCGTATAGTATCTACTGTAACAACTGTATAGTATCTATTGTAACAACTGTATAGTATCTACTGTAACAACTGTATAGTATCTACTATAACAACCGTATAGTATCTACTGTAACAACTGTATAGTATCTACTGTAACAACTGTATAGTATCTACTGTAACAACTTTACAGTATCTACAGTAACAACTGTATTGTATCTACTGTAACAAATGTATAATATCTACTGTAACAACAGTTTAATATCAACTGTAACGACTGTATAGTATCTACCGTAACACATGTATAATATCTACTGTAACAACAGCTTAATATCTACTGTAACAACTGTATATTACCAACTTTATAGTGCCTACTGTAACAACAGCTTAATAGCTACTGTAACAACTGCATATTACCAACTTTATAGTGCCTACTATAACAACTTTATAGTATCTTCTGTACCAACTGTATGGTACCTACTGTAACACATCTATAGTATCTACTGTAACAGCCGTATAGTATCTATTGTAACAACTGTATAGTATTTACTGTAACAACAGTATAATATCTACTGTAACAACCGTATAGTATCTACTGTAGCAACTGTATAGTATCTACTGTAACAACCGTATAGTATCTACTGTAACAATTGTATAGTATCTACTGTAACAACAGCTTAATATCTACTGTAACAACCGTATAGTATCTACTGTAACAACTGTATAGTATCTATTGTAACAACTGTATAGCATTTACTGTAACTACAGCTTAATATCTACTGTAACAACTGTATAGTATCTACTGTAACAACTGTATAGTATCTACTGTAACAACCGTATAGTACCTACTGCACCAACTGTATAGTACCTACTGCACCAACTGTATAGTATCTTCTGTACCAACTGTATGGTACCTACTGCACCAACTGTATAGTATCTACTGCACCAACTGTATAGTATCTTCTGTACTAACTGTATGGTACCTACTACACCAACTATATAGTACCTACTGCACCAACTGTATAGTATCTTCTGTACCAACTGTATAGTACCTACTGTAACAACCGTATAGTACCTACTGCCCCAACTGTATAGTACCTACTGCACCAACTGTATAGTATCTTCTGTACCAACTGTATAGTACCTACTGCACCAACTGTATAGTACCTACTGCACCAACTGTATAGTACCTACTGCATCAGTTGTTTAGTAACTTTTGTCCCACCTTGTTTTTTGATAGAATTTGATGTACCATATTAAAATGTCATTAGAAATATTTTCAAACTTTTGGATTCATTCCAAAAGGCATTAACGTTTTATAGCCAAACTTTAATAACAATAGGCATAAAATTGATTTTGACTTTTAGTGTAAAGGGTGAAGTGTGTAAAAAAGTAATTTATTAGAATTACTCATACAATCCCAGTATAAAAAGCTAATTTTTATTACACCTTCTAGTTAATACTATGACCTAGCACATCCAATCATCGAGAATTCAATCAGATCAGAAGAAATCGTAACAGTAATCAACTTCTCTCAAAGTCACCATCATTGTAAAAAGCAAGATAAACATATTTAATGTAAGTGACTATCACTATCGACAAATGAAGCCAAAACTTGTGTAACTCTATAGCTTTGTTGGTGTTTAATCACCTAGGGTTGTGTTTACCGAAGTTACAGAGAACGTTAGCAATTGTATGTACAACAATAATGAACACGGTAGAATAGCCAGGAATTTGGTTTCTAGTTTGAAAATATCAATGGTTACTATTGTAGACCAAATTTGACGTTGTGAATATTTTTATCATTATTTTACTACAGTTTCCTTTGTCCTTAGGTGAGTTACAGAATACGAGTTAAAGAATAATGTCTAGAACTAGGAAAAGCAACCATTGCTAGACATTTGTCGTACAACCGTATATAATGTCCTTAGAATTACAAATATATATGCATATTCAGATAGAAGGTTAAGTAAGCAAAGGCCAATGTAGTTTTCTAAAGGCCAAATAATATCATCAAAAATTTGCATTTCTCAAGGGCTATCTGCGCTAACCATCACTAGCTTAGAAGTGATAGAAAGAAGACAGCTGGTCAACGTCACCTACCACAGGCTTTAGGCTATTCTTTTACCAACGAATATTGGGATTGACCGTCACATTATAATGCCCCCACGGCTAAAAGGGCGAGCATGTTTGGTGACGAGATTCGAACTTGTTACCCACTGATTGCGAGTACAAACAAATAAAAAAGTAGTCAATAGTATTTGTTTTTTTTTTGTTGTTGTTGATAGAGTATAAGATATATGATTTTGGGAATTCTTTTTGTCATTGAGAAAATAAAAAACATGTTGCTTATATATGACAGCAGGTTACTATCTAATGTAATCTAGCAAGACTTAAACAGTGGAAAAAAATGGGTTAAGTGAAAGTGACACCTGACAATTCAAACCTGAAAACACATTAACATGAAAATTTTCAGCAACGTGTTTCTATCGTTTTATTTTTATCCATTTATTTTTAGTTTCAGAATTCCTTGTTTCACATTGTAAGGTTTTGTTGTAAAGTAGGATATGCATTATTATATTTTAATTATGCAAACTAAAAGTTATCTTACCATTTCAGCTAAGATTTGCGTCCATGAAGAGCATCGTGTCAAATAAAAACTTGAGTCTATATTCAGTATCAATGCAAGAATTTTTTTACTCGAGATCTTAACATAATGTCACCTCATCTAGTTAGATCATGCACACGTGCACACACACACATTCACTCCTCTCCCGCATCCTCTATGTACGCACCACGAGCAAAGAGACTGGCGGGATTAAAATTCGATCGTCTCTGCATCCTACATAAACGCCCTCTAGCGGTACCTTTTATCAGTAGTTGATGCTCCACAATATTAGAGTCTGGCTCATGTTGAACTTTATTTACTTTACTCTTCACATTTAGCTTAAGTTTTTCTTTGGTCGTTCTTCTTAGGCGCCTATAAAATGATGCCAAAAGTAAGTTTCACATAATGTACTATGTATGTACTTTTTATGTAAATTCAGGTCTGAATGATTTTACTTCTCAAGTAAAAAATATTATTCACTCTAATCTATTTCATCTATGTTTGAATAGTAATGAATGCAAGTTATAAAAAATGATAATTTTGTTCTTGTAACATTATATTTGTTCTCTTTCTCCCAACACCTTTAGAATTTGGACTTAAAATGAAAAATTAGAAGAACGAATGTTTTTTGTTTTTTTCTAAATAGTTCAGTTTGTCATTTTAACCGTCACTTTTATGTATTATTCAGCATCTTATTCACACTCAATTAAATTGACTACTTAACTATATATTTGTTACAGTTATTCTCGTGTTTAAACTACCGATGCTCTAAATCGGCATTTTTATCTTGCTTATTTAAAGAAACTCCAAATTACACTATTCATTTTGATGACGTAAACATTAATAGACTACTATGAGTATAATATTAAATACGATTTAAACAATAAATGAGTAACCAACTTCTAACTCCTAGGCAGTGTATGAAACAGATATAATTGTGTATGTTCCACTTGAACGACGATAAGTAACTTGTGAACAATACATTTGTTATGCATATAACGATTTAAGCAAAATCTCCACCCAGTTCTTCTAATCTTATTTTACATATATAACCAGTGTTCCTTGATCATTTTCATATGAATAATAGCACTGTTAATAAGTGCGATTAATTCAACGGACCCAAACGAATATCATCTGATGAAAGTGAATAAAACACAGTTAAAGTAGCTGTGAATTGAAGACAATTAACAGTTTATGAAAGGTGAACATAATGTCACTCATCAAAGTCTAGGAATAATTATATATGTAACGTATCTCAAGAAATCAGCTCATTCCATGTAAATATTTTGCTATATAATTATAAGATGCTACACGTGATTGTAAAAACATAACACTGCACTGAGTAGTTGGCTATTCCAGAATCAGGAAAATATTTTAAAAGTTTTATTTTCCTAATTTAAGAAAGTTTGTTTTGAAAATGTATAGGGTAACTTTAGGGTACATTTGACCATTTTATTAGTAATACATAGAAGCCTTTCTATAACACGTCTAGTGATCTAACTGTATTGAAGAAAAGCTTTTAGAATAATAATACGACTAGATAAAGGGGAGTATTTGAGAAATAATTAAGTTTCATATTCAATTTAAGATGAGAGACGAAGAGATTACATGATGTATAGAAATCTGCCTTGTTACTAGAAACAAGATGTTTTAGTAAAACTTGTTTCGCTGCCTTTTTTGTTGTCCATTCTGGTAGAAACATCACTTTTATTTTAAAACAGTCTAATTATATAAATACTTTATGTGCAATCTGATGTTGTTCTCAAAACTACCCTTAAGACTAGACTGTTTTATCATTTCATCACGAACATACCTTTCTTTCTGCTTATGTACCAGCAACTGTCAAAGTTTTTCAAACGCTTAACCCACTTGTAAACTCTAAATAAATACAACTTTCTTAGACTGTTCTTAAAAGTAAGGTATTGTTTAAATGTAAGTGTAGATACTGAAATACTGAAGGCAACAACATGAATTAACCAACTTTGCTTACATACAGATTATCATACACATACTGAATAAAATATATATATATTATATCAAGCAAAAAAAAAAGAGATGCGTGTAGCATCTTATAATTATATACAAAAATATATACATAGAATGAGCTTATTTCCTGAAATACCTTACATATATAATTATTCCTAGACTTAGATGAGTCATATTATGTTCAGCTTTCATAAACTGTTAGTTGTCTTCAATTCATTTGTTCATTTGATTATCAGATTGTCGTGTATTTAAATTTTCTACAATGTTCACTCAGGTATGAATGTTTATATTTCATGACACAGACAAGTTAGTTAAGTGTTCCATAAAACCAAGGCTTCTTAAAACGAATCCTCGGTTATCAGTGGAAATTATATTCATTAGTGAGTTAGAAAATTGAATATTCGGACACTAAGCAATATGTTAGTCGTCTAAAGTTTCAGTGTTAACCATTATTGAAAGAATAACACGAATAACAGTGTTAAAAGTTGATGTAAAATAAAGTAAAAATCAACTATGTTAAAAGTAACTCTCGTAGGACTGAATATAAATATTGTGGTTATTTTTTAATCTCTGAGTGATATTCCTCTATCAAAGATAAACCTATCGTTCAGAGTACAAATTTTAAACATTTAAATGATAAATCTGTGAGAATTTTACTATTAACACGTACTTTCAAGATCTCGGACATATATAAAACTACCTTCACGTATTATTTAAACATTCCTGGTTAGTAAAGGAATATTTAGTAATCAGTTGTAGAAAAAATATCAACAGAAATTCAATCTAGTACAGACAAATAAGTAAATAGTATAATATATACTTTTAATGCATAAAAACGTATTGAAAGCTACGTTAGATAAACATAATATATGCATAAATACATTGTATGGTTGCACTTTATGCTGAATCATGTAGTTAATGTTCAGAGAAGTGCTTATTTTATTTTCAACTCTGTTAGATTGCAACCAAAGAATGTGTGCTTAGTATATAGGTAATCAGATATCACTCCTCTACATCGTCCCCATTAAGTTTATACGTTATTCCGGTGTCGGTGTATTATTATGAATCAAATTATATTCGGTTACTATCTGCTAATGTTTTCAACAGAACGGTCTTCAGAGGATCATAAAGATGAAAGTCACATGATGCTAGATCAGGCTTGTGTGCACATTTATCAAAATCAGACACTGCACTTAACTTTTTATAACTGTGTTTCACAACAACTATCATGGAAACACATAACTTATGAAATCGCTAACAGTAGGTGAACTTTAACCTATTAACAGGATCATTCGTCGGTCTTGTTTAGTCAAATCCAGGATATGGAAGTTCGGGGAGGATCTCATTTCTTTCTAAACTTCCTTAGTGTTCAGTTTCTTTAGTGTTTCGTGTTTATTAGTTACTGTTTTAAATGAAAGTTGTATTTAAGCTTTTCAAGTATTGCAGTAATGTCTTAGTTAGACTACTTGTTGTCAACTATACAATGTAGTGAACCTATTTGTCAATTAATTCATCTCTTACCTGTTTCTTCTGTCTAATTGTAATATTTTGTGGGAAGGAAAGGATAACGAAAACTGTGTTTTTTTGTTTGTTTGTTATTTTAGAGCAAAGTTAAATTGGGTTATCTACTGTGTTCACCACGGAGAATCGAATCGCGGATTTTAGCTTTGTAAACATTCCGCTGTTCCACTGTGTGACACTAGTGTTAGCGGTTGGGATTAATAGTCTGTAAACTTTATGCTGTTGTAACATTTCCTTTACTCCTGCCCTTTCTCCTCCTCCTTTGTGACTCAGTGGTAAGTCATCAGACTCAAGACACTAAAAATCAGGTTTCGATACCCATGGTTGACAGAGCACAGATGGTCCAAACTTTTATTCCTGCTGAAAATACTTAAATTATTATGCTTAAATGCTGCAACTCCTTATATTTTAATATGAAATATTTCACTTGTCACCTTAAATGCTCCTTGACCCACTCCAAATATTTTATTTAAAAATTGTTCAGAGTTATCAAAAACTTTGAAAGCTCAGTGGTATCAATAATGTAAATGTTTTATTCAGTGAATGGAGATCATTACTTTACATTAGGCCCGGCATGGCCAAATGGTTAAGGCACTCGACTCGCAGTCTGAGGGTCGCGGGTTCGAATCCCCGTCACACCAAACATGCTCGATCTTTCAGCCGTGGGAGTGTTATAATGTGACGGTCAATCCCACTATTCGTTGGTAAAAGAGTGCCCAAGAGTTGGCGGTGGGTGGTGATGACTAGCTGCCTTCCCTCTAGTCTTACACTGCTAAATTAGGACGGCTAGCGCAGATAGCCCTCGTGTAGCTTTGCGCGAAATTCAAAACAAACAAACAAACTTTACATCTACACACTACGACTGTGGCAGCATATCCAAAGCACCAATTCAGCCAATATTCAGAATAGATATTTCTTTTATTTGATCGAGGCGAATATTAAAAAACAAATATAAATTATGCATAAGAAAAACAAACAAAATGATATTTACAAAATTAATATAAATTATGCATTAAAAAACAAAAAAAAAGAATATTTATTGCATGCTGACTGCCAGCGTTATAGAATTAATTAATTTTGACTTTATTATGCCTAATTTATGCTATTACAAACATTTCTGCGTAACACTTGTTGACGACATTTTGAAGCTGTGGCTTTCCCTGGATTCCAGGTAGGGCTAATAATGATGATGTATATGCGTAGAAGTATAGTCGTGAACACAGTGACGTAACGTAAATGATAGTATGTGCTGGGTGCGTGCTGGCCAGGAGTGTAAGAGAAAGAACGTGGCTAATAGAAATAATGGCTTAAGGAATGAAATAAGCGCTTGTCCTGAACAAGTTGATCATTATGTTTTCGAAGGATTAAATTAAGAGAAAAAAGTGCAGTAAAGATTGATATTCTTTATTTGGATTCATTGAAATCCTAAAAAGTAGTTTGATTGTTCAAATCTAATCGAATGTAAAAGTTAAACAGATAGATTCCAAAACAGCAAAACTATTACCTGAGTTTGCTAGAAACTATTAGGTTGTTTAATATAAGCCTAAGATAATGTAAGTATTGAAAATATAAGCCTGTACGATGCAATGCGTCGAATTTTTATGTTGAATGTAATTATGAAAGACTAATAACTTATAATCGTATTCCTGATCGAAAGTAAATTAGGATGCATAACCTTTAAAGATTAAATGTTATAATGAATTCTATAATAAACTTCTAAGATAACTAATTATTTCCTGCAAATTAGCCCTTCTGTAGAATATTTCTAAATCTAAATGTTAAGCAAGTTTTTATACTGACAATAATGCATAAAGAGTTTCCATGATTGTCATCTAGTAATATATGTACAACATGTTTATCAGCAATATCAAATTATTAATAACT